CCCCCCTCTCATGCTTCATCCCCCCACACTTTATACCTCCCAGAATTCATCACCCATTTTTGCCTCTTAACTCCCTGATTCATCCATTTCATCCAATGCCCGGACCCCCGTGCCTATATGGTTATGTAACCTTTCCCCTCTTTCCCTACACCTTCCCTCCTTTCCCCCCTACATCTTCCCTCCTTCCCCTACACCTTCTCTCCTTTCCCCCCTACATCTTCCCTCCTTTCCCCCCTACATCTTCCCTCCTTCCCCCTACACCTTCCCTCCTTCCCCCTTACATCTTCCCTCCTTCCCCCTACACCTTCCCTCCTTCCCCCTACACCTTCCCTCCTTCCCCCCCTACATCTTCCCTCCTTCCCCCTACATCTTCCCTCCTTCCCCCCTACATCTTCCCTCCTTTCCCCCTACATCTTCCCTCCCTCCTACCTTCCTCACTTGCCCCATACCTTCTCTCCCTCACACATCAACACTCCCCTCTCCTCCATGCCCCTGAAAAAGCCTCCCTGAGCTCTTCCTCTCCCGTGTTACGGGATGACACCAACGCCATTAACCCAGCCAGACATATTTCAAGTATTTTGACCAATTTGTAAGAGACTTGGAAGATTTTGAAGGGAGATTTGCAGGTGTGTGTTGAAGGTTATGGAGGGGACGCAAGCGTTTATAACTAGTAAAGTCTCATGAGGTTTTACTAGTTATAAACGTCGTCTCAATAAGTTATAATAATAAGTTTACTAGTTATATCTCAATAAGGTTACTAGTTTTAAAATGTCGTATCAAACAACATTTTTGCTGGCCTCTCGCCCGCTGCCCGAGGCGCCAGTAAGTCCTATCGCCCGCTGCCCGAGGCGCCAGTAAGTCCTATCGCCCGCTGCCCGAGGCGCCAGTAAGTCCTATCGCCCGCTGCCCGAGGCGCCAGTAAGTCCTATCGCCGCTGTCTGAGGTGCCAGTAAGTCCTATCGCCCGCTGCCCGAGGCGCCAGTAAGTCCTATCGCCCGCTGCCCGAGGCGCCAGTAAGTCCTATCGCCCGCTGCCCGAGGCGCCAGTAAGTCCTATCGCCCGCTGCCCGAGGTGCCAGTAAGTCCTATCGCCCGCTGCCCGAGGTGCCAGTAAGTCCTATCGCCCGCTGCCCGAGGCGCCAGTAAGTCCTATCGCCCGCTGCCCGAGGCGCCAGTAAGTCCTATCGCCCGCTGCCCGAGGCGCCAGTAAGTCCTATCGCCCGCTGCCTGAGGTGCCAGTAAGTCCTATCGCCCGCTGCCCGAGGCGCCAGTAAGTCCTATCGCCCGCTGCCCGAGGCGCCAGTAAGTCCTATCGCCCGCTGCCCGAGGCGCCAGTAAGTCCTATCGCCCGCTGCCTGAGGCGCCAGTAAGTCCTATCGACCGCTGCCTGAGGCGCCAGTAAGTCCTATCACCCGCTGCCTGAGGCGCCAATAAGTCCTATCGCCCGCTGCCTGAGGCGCCAATAAGTCTTATCACCCGCTGCCTGAGGCGCCAATAAGTCCTATCGCCCGCTGCCTGAGGCGCCAATAAGTCCTATCGCCCGCTGCCTGAGGCGCCAATAAGTCCTATCGCCCGCTGCCTGAGACGCCAATAAGTCCTATCGCCCGCTGCCTGAGGCGCCAATAAGTCCTATCACCCGCTGCCTGAGGCGCCAGTAAGTCCTATCGCCCGCTGCCTGAGGCGCCAATAAGTCCTATCGCCCGCTGCCTGAGGCGCCAATAAGTCCTATCGCCCGCTGCCTGAGGCGCCAGTAAGTCCTATCGCCCGCTGCCTGAGGCGCCAATAAGTCCTATCACCCGCTGCCTGAGGCGCCAGTAAGTCCTATCGCCCGCTGCCTGAGGCGCCAATAAGTCCTATCGCCCGCTGCCTGAGGCGCCAATAAGTCCTATCGCCCGCTGCCCGAAGTATACAGGAAATACTCAATTACTTACGTCGCGGCATTTGGTTCCTTAAATGTAATATTGACTTCAATCTGATGTCTAATTTAAGGATTTCTTTTGTTTTTTTGTCACACAGTTTTCAACTTGGCGGCCGGGAGGAGGAGAGGGACGGATGGCCAAATTGTCTTTCTCGTTTTCTTAATTGAATCGAAGCGCGGTGTTTACGACGCGCGAACCAGTGGCGGGAAAGTGGTATGACGCAGCGGTAGTAAGGGTGCTTCTCCTTGTGTAGTGGGCTGTATAATAAGCACTGTCGACAGTAGGCTGTTAAGGACATTGTTGTGTGCCTCTTCATTCCTCCCCTTCATTCCTACCTTCTTGGTCTTCCCAGGTTTTCCTCTCGCCAGGTATTGATTGATCACACCTAATATTACCTTCACCTCTCGGGCATGCCAGTTGTGTTGTTGTTGTGGTGTTGCTGCCTGTGTTGGGGTGGTGTTGCTGCCTGTGTTGTTGGGGTGGTGTTGCTGCCTGTGTTGTTGCTGCCTGTGTTGTTGTTGTGGTGTTGTTGTGGTGTTGCTGCCTGTGTTGTTGTTGTGGTGTTGCTGCCTGTGTTGTTGTTGTGGTGTTGCTGCCTGTGTTGTTGTTGTGGTGTTGCTGCCTGTGTTGTTGCTGCCTGTGTTGTTGTGGTGTTGCTGCCTGTGTTGTTGTTGTGGTGTTGCTGCCTGTGTTGTTGTTGTGGTGTTGCTGCCTGTGTTGTTGTGGTGTTGCTGCCTGTGTTGTTGTTGTGGTGTTGCTGCCTGTGTTGTTGTGGTGGTGTTGCTGCCTGTGTTGTTGTTGTTGTGGTGTTGCTGCCTGTGTTGTTGTTGTTGTGGTGTTGCTGCCTGTGTTGTTGTTGTGGTGTTGCTGCCTGTGTTGTTGTTGTTGTGGTGTTGTTGCTGTGTTGTTGTTGTGGTGTTGCTGCCTGTGTTGTTGTGGTGGTGTTGCTGCCTGTGTTGTTGTGGTGGTGTTGCTGCCTGTGTTGTTGTGGTGGTGTTGCTGCCTGTGTTGTTGTTGTGGTGTTGCTGCCTGTGTTGTTGTTGTGGTGTTGCTGCCTGTGTTGTTGTTGTGGTGTTGCTGCCTGTGTTGTTGTTGTGGTGTTGCTGCCTGTGTTGTTGTTGTGGTGTTGCAGCCTGTGTTGTTGTGGTGTTGTTGCTGCCTGTGTTGTTGCTGCCTGTGTTGTTGCTGTGTTGCTGCCGGTGTTGTTGTTGTGGTGTTGCTGCCTGTGTTGTTGTTGTGGTGTTGCTGCCTGTGTTGTTGTGGTGTTGTTGCTGCCTGTGTTGTTGTTGTGTTGCTGCCTGTGTTGTTGTTGTGGTGTTGCTGCCTGTGTTGTTGGGGTGGTGTTGCTGTCTGTGTTGTTGCTGTGTTGCTGCCTGTGTTGTTGTTGTGGTGTTGCTGCCTGTGTTGTTGCTGTGTTGCTGCCTGTGTTGTTGTGGTGTTGTTGCTGCCTGTGTTGTTGTTGTTGTGGTGTTGCTGCCTGTGTTGTTGTTGTGGTGTTGCTGCCTGTGTTGTTGTTGTGGTGTTGTTGTTGTGGTGTTGCTGCCTGTGTTGTTGTTGTGGTGTTGCTGCCTGTGTTGTTGTGGTGGTGTTGCTGCCTGTGTTGTTGTGGTGGTGTTGCTGCCTGTGTTGTTGTTGTGGTGTTGCTGCCTGTGTTGTTGTTGTGGTGTTGCTGCCTGTGTTGTTGTTGTGGTGTTGCTGCCTGTGTTGTTGTTGTGGTGTTGCTGCCTGTGTTGTTGTTGTGGTGTTGCTGCCTGTGTTGTTGTTGTGGTGTTGCTGCCTGTGTTGTTGTTGTTGTGGTGTTGCTGCCTGTGTTGTTGTTGTGGTGGTGTTGCTGCCTGTGTTGTTGTTGTGGTGGTGTTGCTGCCTGTGTTGTTGTTGTGGTGGTGTTGCTGCCTGTGTTGTTGTTGTGGTGGTGTTGCTGCCTGTGTTGTTGTTGTGGTGGTGTTGCTGCCTGTGTTGTTGTTGTGGTGGTGTTGCTGCCTGAGTTGTTGTGGTGGTGTTGCTGCCTGTGTTGTTGTGGTGGTGTTGCTGCCTGTGTTGTTGGGGTGGTGTTGCTGCCTGTGTTGTTGTTGTGGTGTTGCTGCCTGTGTTGTTGTGGTGTTGTTGTGGTGTTGCTGCCTGTGTTGTTGTGGTGTTGCTGCCTGTGTTGTTGTGGTGTTGCTGCCTGTGCTGGCTGTGCTGCTGCTGTGGCCCGGTGCTGCTGCCTGTGTTGTTGTTGTGGTGTTGCTGCCTGTGTTGTTGTTGTGGTGTTGCTGCCTGTGTTGTTGTGGTGTTGCTGCCTGTGTTGTTGTGGTGCTGCTGCCTGTGTTGTTGTGGTGTTGCTGCTTGTGTTGTTGTTGTGGTGTTACTGCCTGTGTTGTGGTGGTGTTGCTGCCTGTACTGGCTGTGCTGCTGCTGTGGCTCGGTGTTGCTGCCTGTGTTGTTGTGGTGCTGCTGCCTGTGTTGTGGTGGTGTTGCTGCCTGTACTGGCTGTGCTGCTGCTGTGGCCCGGTGTTGCTGCCTGTGTTGTTGTGGTGCTGCTGCCTGTGTTGTTGTGGTGTTGCTGCTTGTGTTGTTGTTGTGGTGTTACTGCCTGTGTTGTGGTGGTGTTGCTGCCTGTGCTGGCTGTGCTGCTGCTGTGGCTCGGTGCTGCTGCCTGTTCTGTTGACTATGCAACACTTAGAAGGGATACGTGGACAACGAACATGGTCATGGGTGAGGGAATGATGCCGTAACCACGTGAACCATAGGAGACGGAACTCTGACCCTGCACGAAGCTATTTCGGTGTACCGACTAGTCTAAGTTTATGGGTTTATTTCTCAAAAGTTAAGGAAGGTTCCATCACATAACCCGCCTCTGGAGTTTAAACAAACTGTGATGGTTTGTATTTGTTCGTTATGCGAGTGTTAAATTGTTGATTTGTTTTGTTTATTGCTAAGTAAATGGCATTTCCACGATCGTCAGACTGTGTAGCGAATTGGGTTTGAGTGGCGATATTTCTAGCTTTATTTTATATTATAAAGCTAGAAATATTTTATTTCTCGCGACCTCACGCTTTGTGCTCTGCTTTGCTAATACGAGGTTTTTATGGTGTTTTAATTTTTAGTTTGTTTTAGTGATTATGTATTCCTCTCTCTCAAGTGTAGACCGGGTCTGGGAAGACCCATTGGTCTGGGAAGACCCATTGGTCTGGGAAGACCCATTGGTCTGGGAAGACCCATTGCTCAGGATAGATCCATTGCTCAGGGAAGACCCATTGCTCTGGGAAGACCCATTGCTCAGGGAAGACCCATTGCTCAGGATAGATCCATTGCTCAGGGAAGACCCATTGCTCAGGGAAGACCCATTGCTCAGGGAAGACCCATTGCTCAGGCAAGACCCATTGCTCAGGATAGATCCATTGCTCAGGGAAGACCCATTGCTCAGGGAAGACCCATTGCTCAGGGAAGACCCATTGCTCAGGGAAGACCCATTGCTCAGGGTTTTTCGAGGGGTCATTCAGGATGCGGGAGTCTGGAGAAGTCTTGGCTATGGATGCGTCATCACATTGGCTGGAGGGCGATTCTTCTGGCTCTGTTAGAGGCGGGGGGGGGGGGGGAAGGGAGGAAAGGTTATGTATCTGATAGTCACTTGGGTTGATGACCTCCAGGAGACGGGGGTCGTCTTTTCGATCTAGAATGTAAAGGTATTAAATAGTGTCAAGCTCCTGAGAGGTAGCAAAGTCTGTCGTTCATCATTCTGAGAGACCTTGTGAAGCTGGTCTGGTCCTACTCTGTCTTGTTGTTTAAGACTCGCTACCTGGAACAACACGTTCCAAGTAGCACGGGCTATGGTGAGCCCGTAGTGCCTCTACCTTACTCTGTCGTTGAAGAGGATGTTCGCAGAGAAGCGCATTGCCTTGGTTTGGACTCTGATCTTCAGTTTGTTAGTACTTGGGGTGTGATTTAGCGGGCATATGGGTATTCTAGTACTTGTCTAATGATCATTTTGTAGAGGTGGAGCTGCTTGACATGGGTTGGTAGTCTTGCCAGGGAGGGAACTATCAGGAGAATCTATTCATCACGTGTTAATTTTCGTGCTTTACACACACACACACACACACGCACGCGCGCGCGGGCACACACACACATTAATGCACAATATAGTTGTGCATTAATTGGCTGTTGATTGACGGTGTTGACTATCAACAGCCAATTAATGCACAACTATATTCTACCCACTTCAAGACTCCCCTCCAATATAGAAGCATCAAGAAATATGGGCCAATAGGCCCTCTGCAATTACTTCCATTCTTACCTTCAATACCCATTGTTTCGTGTTCTGGCTTGTGTTGAAAGTTTGTTTTCACTTCATCCAAAACTGTTGTAACATATCATAACGTATAAAAAATCGAACATGTTTAAGCTCTATTCAGTTATAAGTTGTGTGTGTGTGTGTGTAAACTAAAGTCTTTGAAAATGTAATAAGTTTTACGAAACGCGCTCAAGTGTCGCGTCAGACTAGAAATAAAAATGAATTTTGGAGAATTGATTTTTCATTTACCATCAACAGTGAAAAGAAACATAACAAAGATCGAGAAAATTCGTGTTAGAATTATTAATCTTTTTCGGTCATATTAATAATATGTGTCTACAGGAAAGACTTCTACCAAAATATACTAATATATATATATATATATATATATATATATATATATATATATATATATATATATATATATATATATATATATATATATATATATATATATATATATATATGTCGTACCTAGTAGCCAGAACGCACTTCTCGGCCTACTATGCAAGGCCCGACTTGCCTAATAAGCCAGGTTTTCATGAATTAATGTTTTTTCGACTACCTAACCTAACATTTTCGGCTACCTAACCTAACCTATAAAGATAGGTAAGGTTAGGTTAGGTAGGGTTGGTTAGGTTCGGTCATATATCTATATTAATTTTAACTCCAATAAAAAAAAATTGACCTTATACATAATGAAATGGGTAGCTTTATCATAATTTATCATTTATTTTCATAAGAAAAAAATAGAGAAAATATATTAATTCATGAAATCTTGGCTTATTAGGCAAATCGGGCCTTGCATAGTAGGCCGAGAAGTTCATTCTGGCTACTAGGTACGACATAATATATATATATATATATATATATATATATATATATATATATATATATATATATATATATATATATATATATATATATATATAGCTTTTCTGACTATAATCCACTTATCGTTAAAAAAAAAACTAAATTTGTTGCTGCAGTTCATATCCTGTCGAATTAACGATTGGGATGGGGGAGATGACGTCACTTCCGGCCTGCAGGAGTAGACAGGGGCTCTTTGAAGTCCCCTTCCACCCTCCTTTCCCTATCCATCCCCTACCTACCACCGAGCCCCCCCCCCCCCCTACATATCCCCTACCCCTAGTAACCACGCCCATCGCCCTCCCAGCAAGTCAATTTCCATGGAAATACTTTGATATTGAAACTGAGTTAAAGAACTTGCAAAGAGTGTCTATTACGGGTGATCAAACACAGGGTAGGGAGCAGCCCAGCGGGGAAGGTGGTGGTGGTTGGTTGTGGTGGTGAGTAGTGGTACTTGCCTATCACAACCTAACTATCAGTGTCTACGGGGGGAGTGAAATCTAGCTCTGAGGGCCCCGCATACTAATCTTATTGCGCCTGTTGAAATTCTTTGTCGAATCTCTCTAAATTTGTGGAAGCCGGCTCTTAGTTATTTCTTTCGGGGCATTCCTCTTGTTGACCGGCCGTACTGAGTACAAGTATTTCCTTATATTCCTTATATTTGTCCATCATATCTATTCACCTTAGTATCTTGTATGTCGTGATCAAATCCTCTCGTTTCTTATATCCTTTACGGTTGTGAGAGCCTGTCCTCATGGCTTAAGTCAGTTAGCTCTAGCACCAGTCTTGTTACAGACCCCTGTACTTTCTAAATTTCGATTTTATGCATCATAAGACGCAGATTAGATGCCGAGGCTGCATATTCCAGCATTGGTCTAAGAAATGATTCGTTACCTCTAAGTTATCCTGATTTACGTTACTAAACGATGCTCTTATATTTACGAGCGTCACATATGTTGCTGATGTTACCCTCTCCGTGTGCGCCACCCGCGTTATGTTACTATATACACTCCCAGTCTCCCTCTTTCTGATCCCTGTAGTTATCGTCCCATTATGGTATCGATACCAACTGGACTCCCTATCCCCCCCTTTCTCATCTTCATTACCTTATGTTTATTGGGATTGAATCCTAATAACCATTCGTTTGCTCACTCCTAGAGTTTGTCAAGCTGCTCCTGTAACTTCCTGCAGTCTTCCTCTATGTTTTATATTCCTCATCAGCTTTGCATCATCTGCAAGCACTGATACGTACGAGGTCACTTCTACAGGTAGGTCGTATAAATAAATTACGAATAGCAGTGGCGCGAGGAGCGAGCCTTGTGGCAGCTCACTTGTTGCAGTCCTCCAGCATCCACCCGCTTCTCTGGCGGTGACTTTGCTTTCTGCCCTCTGTCCTTTAAGTTGTTCCTCTCCAGATGCTCCACCATTCTCAACTTTGTTACTTTCTCAAACACTTTACTCTGAATACTTGTCAATGACACTGGTCTGTAATTTAGTGCCTTCTGTCTCTCTCCCCTTTTGTGAATATTGGGACTACATTTGCCCTTTCCCAAAATACTCTTGAAATTTCCTCTCGGGAACATTTCATTATAAATTTGAGGTTGTGGAGCGATAAATTACTTCTGAAGCCCGCTTCACCATCCATGGTGAGATTGTCTGCTCCCACTGATTGTGTCATGTCTAGTTCCCCCCTTTTTTGGCCTCTTCAGTGAATACAATGTCATCCATTGTTTCTTCCAGACTTTCATATCATATCCTTGGTTTCCATGCTGTTTTATTATGAAAACCTGTTTTTTTATAAGTTCCTCACATACCTCCACGTCATTTTCTGTGAGAATTCTTCCTTGTCTCTTTATCCTGATTACATGATCTCTCACTGTTTTTTCTCCTTATATGGCTAAAGAGAACTTTGGTTGGTCATTAGCGTGTGGCTGCCGTGCCATTATACCGTTTTGATAATGGAGGTTACATAGTAATCTCCACCTATCAGACCTTTCCTATCAGTGATTATGGGTAAGTGAGAACTAGCTCTGTATGCCCCCCACTAACTAGCCTTTGTACTGTTCGCGTTATAATTGAACTATTATGACGTTTGTCTTCTTTTCGAATTTGTCCTTAAATTTATGCACGAGGGCGGTGGTTTCCACCACTTCTTTCATTGTATTCCACTTGCTGACCACCCGTACTGGGCACGAGTATTTCCGTACCCAGTACGGGTGGTCAACTTCCTTATACCAATACTCTCTCGCCTCGTTCTCTCCCCCACACTCTCCCAGTAATTGTATTTTCCAAAGAGCTGTGTGTCATACTTGGGCTTAGCCTCCTCCAAGTACTTTGTCCCCAGAACACGACTCGCCAATCGATTTCCATTCATTTCCTCAATTACCGCTGGGCAAGGGGGAGGGAAGGAACTGTGCTCAGAATGTTCCAAATGGAGTCGGATTGAAATCTAGGAATCCTGGCTGAGGAAGACGTTTTCATGCTCCGCGTAATACTGCATGAAAAGGTTTTAATTGTGTGAATGTTTCTTGCATTTACTGTCTTGCAATATATATATATATATATATATATATATATATATATATATATATATATATATATATATATATATATATATATATATATATATATATATATATAAACATATTTATGTCATTTGGATATGACTTTTTCATTATAAATTTATAAAACTGTTGTCATGGAACATTTCACAAGCATAAAACAATTAAAATTTTCGAGTGGAACAAACAACAGTTTGTGAAAAATTAGTCGACAATAAAAAAAAGTTTTATATTACAGTACGTACGCACGCACACCCGCACACCCACACACACACACACACACACACACACCACACACACACACACACACACACACACACACACACACACACACACACACACACACACACACAACCTCACTCGCTCACAAAAATATATCCCCCTGCCCCCCCCTACACACTCGCTTCTACTCCCCCCCCCCTTCCCTTACACATATAAACTAGAAGTGTTTTTCAGTGTATATAATAAATTGCCTGAGAAGGGGGAGAGGAAGGTAGAGGGGGGGGGGGAGGACGTGGGAAGGGACGAAGTGAGGGGACCAAGGGAAGGGGGACGAAGGTGGAATGGAGAGATGGGGGTGAAGAGTGTGGAAGAGAGAGGGGAAAAAGTGTGGAAGAGAGAGGGGAAAAAGAATGGAAAGACAGAATAAGAGACCCGTGTCCAACTGGGTACCCCATATATATATTTATAAGTTTAAATGTCTGTCTAATTTAAGGTTGGATACCTGGGTTTTAGCCTCAACCAACTTTGCAGGGTGAATGGTTTGAGGTGCGG